AAAGGGAGAAATGTGGGATCCACATATAAATCAAGTACAAAAATCAAATGAATATTCATATTTGACCTGATTGTTTATAGTTCATAATGCGTGATCAAAACCGAAAGTTTCTGTGATGACTGCCCTTGTACTGTTCACCATGTAAGAATTTATTCACTATATAAGAATTCGTTCACCATGTAAGAACTTGTTCGTTATGCTTCAGAAGATTGGAGACTGGCGAGAGTTAGGCTTGAGATGGATTAATGATTGTACATTGAGCATTGACCCCCCTATACTGAATTTTATTGTTGTTAACAACCATTTGATTAATAAATATGAGCGATGCCCTCTCAAAAAAAAAAATTGAAGTTTAATTATAGCCTTTAACATACAATGAGTTTTTGTCTTACCTTAGACACAAATATAATACTATAGGTAGATTTTAAAATCTTTATACTGTTGGTGAGGAAAACTTTTCTTGTATTCTCTTAAGTTCTTGTCTGGAGAATTTCAAATTGATTAATGGAAGTAAAAGGATTTATTTGTGTATATATGGGAGCTAACAGGAAGTAGCTCATTGTAGTGGAGGCAAACTTTTTACCCTCTTAGAGTTCTTTTTGGCTGGGTCTGAGAATTAGATTGACATAAGACTGATCAGTAAGAGAAAAGCACATGAATTTATTATATGTAATACAAGTTTTACATGACACAGAATTCTCCATAAGGAATGAAGAACCAAAAAGATAGTGAAACCACCTTGGTTTTACATTAGGTTGAATAAAGAGAGGAGATTTTGGAAAAGTGACTTAACTATGTGGGGAGGCTAAAGGAAAATAAGAATTATTTTAATAAGGTCTGTATAAAATTCTCTTCATCTCACCTTCTCGTCCTTGATGATAAAAATGTTAGTTTCCTTCTGGTATAGGAAGGATATCTTTCATATGGGAATTTCATCTACTGCTTTTATACGGGAAAAAAGAAGACCAGAGTGTTTTTCTTGTCTATGCTGTGATTCAAGAGCCTTGAACTCAAAATAGTCAATATGACAGAGCAGCATATTTTGGGGTGGTGTATTCTGAACTCTGTCATTAAATGATTAAAGTTAGAAGCTTATACACCTAACTTAGGGGAAAGGGAGAGGAAGAAAAGGCTTCTGTGGGAAGAACAAGTAGGGAAAGACACAGGGAGATAATGCTTTGTGATATTGTTGGTCTGCACATGAGAGTAGTCTTTTCTTCTTCAGGATCATAAAAGTCTCCTGCAGGGACTTTTTATTCTTTGTCTCCTTCCTGGATATAAAAGCCACCCTGAAGAGGGAGTTTTTGGCAGGCAGCCTCATTTCCCAGAAGTTTCTGCTATTAGTCAGACAAGGAAGCTCCAGGAAGACTTCTCTCTCTGTCTGTTAAGTCCAAAATGTCTGCAGCTTAAAATAATGTTCATATCAATTTTGGACTCTGAGTCGGTCCCCCCAGTAACATACCTGGAATTATTTTGAAATTAAGATACTCCCTGCTTTTAGATAGAGTAGGTTTTGTATGATCAGACTGAAACAGTGCTGTAAGCTCAACACAGACTCTCCATGCTCCATAATAGCCTAACCATATATGTTATGTTCTGCCACTAACAGAAAATGCCACATATTGGGAAAAGGGAGTCAGAGGTCTATATTAAGCATCATTGAATAAGTAGGATAGAATAAGACAAGATTCTGACAGAAAAGCAGAATCAGGAGATATGTCATGGATTTACTGTAAGGCATTGACTTACATTTGTTGGGGCTGCCTAAGTAAGACTCAGGTCTTATAGGGTAAACAGAAAACGACTATCATGAGCAGGCTGGAGTCTCATGGGCAAGTGCTTGTTCACTGGTGAGTCAGAAGGAAGATAGGGGAAAGGGAAAGTAATTGCAGATCAGCTGCTGTTTGGAGTTTGTCCTTCAGAGAAAGCCTAAACATTCTCTTAAAGACCTTCCAACTGTGTAAATCCAGCCAACCCAGGATAATTTCACTTTTGATTGAAGTCAGCTGATTGAACTTTAATCATATCTACAAAATCTCTTTAGAGCAGCACATAGATTGGTGTTTGAATATCTGAGAGAAGGTGTGTGTGCTACCAGGTGGAAGCTGCCCCCCTTCTGTCCTTTAACTTCAGAGAATATCCCGTGTCTTCTAATGGAAAACATACCAGAAAGGGAATTCCATGGACTATATTTCAACCCAGCTAAGTTGAATTATCAGAAAGCCATTATAAATGATAAAATATGTCTGTCATATTGTAAAATGAAAAGTGGATATTGCTTTAAATCACATTTAAAACTTATAAACAAAAGGCTCTAGAATTAATAGCACCAGTTTGGATAATCTAAGAGAAGAATAAAAATCTGGCTAACATCTATAAACTTAATGGTCATAAAAACTTTTTAGGATATGTTTACCAAATGTTACACGTTTCTCATAACTACATTCTGTTTTTCCATAGGGTACTTTTTGAGATCACACAAGAAGATGTTTTGTTTCTGGCTTCACCTCTGACCTTTGATCCTTCTGTTGTGGAAATATTTGTTACTCTATCAAGTGGTGCTTCTCTGCTTATTGTACCAGCTTCTGTCAAAGTACTGCCATCAAAATTAGCGGCTGTTCTCTTTTCCCATCACAGAGTGACAATTTTGCAGGTACATTTTAGGAGAAAATGAAATGGTTTGTCTTTCATTTTTCAGTATTTTAAGTGTTGTTTTAAAGAATATTTTAAACTCCTATAGTTCATTATAATGGTTAATGATAATTTAGTTAGATTATTAACAGATATCTCCTGATGTATTTTGTTTGCTTGAGAATAAAAAACAATCTGTATAGAAAATTCTCTTACTGTGCATTTTGTATATACTAGAGGAACTTGACTTTTGCTCAAATCTGTTGGGATATACTGCCTCTCCAGTGTTTAAATTTATTGTATTTCTCACTAAAAGTTAGTTTAAATAAGTTAAATTATAATTGAGTTAGGAATTTAGATTTTCTGATTTTACATCAGTGTATTTTATGTTTACCTTAAGAAATAGATATTATGTTTGTCATTTTTAAGGATTTAAAAAATAGATATTTGAAAGTATGTGACTGGTAGACAAACCTTAGGATATAACATTGCAAGTGGTTAAAGATACTGGAGAGAATTAACAAAATTATATGTATATCATGATAAACTAAAAATACCCAGTTATATCTGGTAAAGTGAGATGTGAGAGGGTATTAAATTTCTGCCCTAAAGACAAAATCTAGTATCAACTTAGTTTCTAGGCAATGTGTTTTTTCATCCTAAGAAAACCATATACATATATATACACGTGTGTGTGTGTGTGTGTGTAAGCAAATGAACTGAGTATGTACCTTGCTGAATATCAGTGGACATAAATTCTCATCTGTTGGTGAATCAGTCTATGAATCTGGGCAAGACTTTAATATAACTTTTATTTTCCTACAGTATGCAAGTAGCATATTTTTCAGGGAATATTTGCAAAGTATCTTAATAGATTTGAGTGATAGTTACTCAATGAAAGGAGACTTTTCTTACATGTCAGGTCAGTGAATTACACTCTTTAAATATGATCCCCTTACCTAATGTTTTAGCACAATTTCAGATCTACTTTAACAGTGGTTTTTAACCTTTTTGGGGTCACAGATCCTTCAGAGAAGCTAATGCACATTTACTCTGTTCATAGAACACAGAAAATTTTGCATGTAGTTGGACAGTGATTTTCTTTAACTCAATACTTATTTTGGAAGATTATCAGGAGATCATATTTGACTCCTTAATCCCCTTCTCCCTCCCTCTCCATCCACGCTCTCCAGCTCTTTCCCTTTGGTAAACACTATTCCCTTCTTGGAGTCTATGAGTCTGCTGCTATTTTGTTCCTTTAGTTTTGCTTTGTTTTTATACTCCACAAATTAGTGAAGTTATTTGGTACTTGTCTTTCTCCACCTGGCTTGTTTTAAAAGTGAAACTTGTAATTAGAGCAAACTCTTAGATTTCCAGCTATCATAATGTCAGCATAATAGTGTTTTTAATTTTTATGTGAATTTTTCCATAGAAAATTTAGAAGAAACCTTAATGTTCATTATTACTTTTTCCTATTATTTACTAAGTTTTATTTTTCTGTACCTCCAATGATTTGGTAGCAGAGGATATTGACTAGTATTCTGCCATTAAATTTGTCTTCTCAGTTTGAGTATCTCAACAGTGTTGCTATGTTTTATCTTGCTGAATATTCATAGTTGTGCATTCACTTAAAGAGTTCAAAGTTGAAATTATCCTTAACACCAAAAATTAGGCCAAAATGTTTTGAATTTGCTTCAGTGAAAATGTAGAGCAGGAACATTTGCTGTCATCTTGACAAGAGATTTTCCTTATGATAAAACTCTTGGTGGACCACTTAAGAACTTAATTTAGGTTACCTCATAAATAATATTAGGTTACCTCATAAATAGGGTGGCTATTATAATTTATTATCAAAAACAAAAATCCTGAGAGTTGAATGGAAGCACTAAATTCCTGTTGTTCCGGGGAATCAGATCAGAGAGGGCCCATACACATTCCTGGCTGATCCTGAGGCTGCATGCATGCACATAAGAGACACAAAAGAGCCCGTGGAAAATAAAAGCTGTATCTATCTTGAAATGGTCTAAACTTTGAATGAGTTGCCTTATTCACACACAGATCCATCTGTGGGGGCAATGTGTCCAATCATTGGTTTACTTCTGAGCTATGCAGACACAAGTCACCTATAGGAAGTAAGAATTAAAAATGAGAAAAAGAATATATATTAAAAAAAAAATCTGAGCAGTGGTATCAGTGGCCACATAAAACAGGAGACAGATTTCACAGATTTAGGCAAGTTACTAATAAGTAAATAAAAAGACCAACAAAAAACACTTCATAATGACAAAATGGTCAGTACGTCAAGAAGTACATTGTATCAAGAAAACATAACAATTATAAGTGTATATCTAAAATATGCAATAATAGTTAAAAATAGCTTCCAAATACAAGAAGCAAAAATGGACAGAATTGAAAGGAGAAATAGACAACTCAGTAGTTAGAAATTTTAATACATCACTTTCAGTAATTGAAAAGCTAGACAGAAATCCCTCATATAATACAGAAGACTTGAACAACATTATCAATCAAATACCATATATAGAAAACTCTGTCCAACAAATGCAGAATTTTAACACATTGTTGCATGCACATCGAACATAAATATATGCTAGGCCACAAAACAAATTTCAGTAAATTTAAAGCATGGCCAAGTGGGATTTATTGCAGGAATTAACATTTGGTTTAACATCCCAAAGCCCATTGATATTAATATCCAAAATATATTACATAAATGATAGTGGACAAAAACATAATTATCTCAAACAGATCAGAAAAACTTGGCAAAATCTAACACTTGTGATTAAAAAAAAGAAAAAAAGACTTAACAAACTAGAAATTGAAGGGAACTTGCCCAACACATTGAAGAGCATCTACAAAAGACTACAGCTAACGTCATACATTTTTTTAAATTGAGGTATAGTTGATAATACAATATCATATTGATTTGAAGTATACAACATTCATGAAGTGATTCAGTAGTTATCTGCATTATTAAATGCTCACCCCAATAAGTGTAGTTGCTGTCTGTCAACATTGAAAGATACCATAGCATTATTGACTATATTTGTTATGTTGTAATTTCATCCCCGTGATTAGTTTATAATTGAGATTTTTGTGCCTCTTTATCTTCTTCACCCATTTCAATGACCCACCTCAATCCCTCCCCCATAGTAATCACCAGACTTTTCTCTGTATGAATATGTTTTTGTTTTGTTCATTTGTTTTATTTTAGATTCCATATATAAGTGAAATCATAAGGTATTTCTCTTTCTCTCCTTGGCTTATTTCACTTAGCATAATAGCCTGTAGGTCTATATCCATGTTGTTGCTAATGGCAAGATTCTTTCTTTCTTATGCCTGAAGAATATTCTGTTGTATGGACCACATCTTCTTTACCGATTCTTCTGTTGATGGACACTTTGGTTGCCTCCATATCTTGGCTATTGTACATAATGTGGCAATAAATAGAGGAGTACATATATCTTTTTGAATAATAGATGTCGTCTTTGGGTAAATTCCCAGAAGTGGAACTGCTGGGTCATATGGTATTTCTATTTTTAGTTTTTTGAGAACCCTTCAAACTGTTTTCTACAATGGCTGGACCAAGTTACATGCCCATCTTAGCATTGTAGGAGGGTTCCCTTTACTCCACATCCTTACCAACATTCATTATTTCTTGTCTTTTTATAATACCATTTTGATTTGGGTTAGGTGATACCTCATTGTGGTTTTGATTTGTATTTCCTTAATGACTAGTGATGTTGAGTATCTTTTCATGTGCCTCTTGGCCATCTGTATGTCTTTGGGAAAAGGTCTGTTCAGGTCCTCTGCCCATATTTTAATTAGGTTATTTGCTTTTTTCCCTGTTATTTGAGTTATTTTTATATCATATTCAGATACATTATTTGCACATGTTTTCTCCCATAGAGTAGATTGCCTTTTTGTTTTGTTGATGGTTTCCTTTTGCTGTGCTGACATTTTTAAGTTTAAGGTAGTCCAGCTTGTTTATTTTTGCTTTGGTTTTCCTTGTCCAAGGAGACATATCCAGAAAAAAATTATTCATGTTCATGTTCAAGAGATTCCTGCCAATGTTTTTTTTTTAATGTTGCATAGAGTACATTTTATTAAAGCAGTCAATGACAAAGCTCAGAGCATCAGGCTTAGACAGTAAATTTGGACTTTCATAAGACAAATGTAACACATCAAATTGGTTCAACTTAATTTTTTATGTTTTGGGAGCTGTCATATAATCTGATCCAACTAAGGGCTGTTCTAAGCATGGAATTCTTGTTTGAAATATTAAGGAATGGTGAACAACTGTCTTAATACTGAAATGGTTTGAATGTGTACCTTATCTTCATCATACCATTCAAGAAGGAACAATCTACAAAACTATAGACCAAGCTTCTTATCTTAATATATATGAATTTTACTTTTATTGAAGATTTTACAACTTGCTATAAAGATTAAATTTGTAGATATAATTTCTAAAGCCATAATTATATTTTCATTGGTTTTGGTCTTTATTCTGATTTAGCTCAGAGGAGACCACCAAAATTATTCAGTGTGCCACTGCTCCCTCTGGGTGAGATTTTATCTTTTAGACTAGAATGTAAATTAATTCACTTGAGCCATGGAGGGTTCACGTGTAGTGCAATGCATCTAAGTCTGCATTATAATGTAGACCCTTTTTATTTATGGATAATAAAAAAAGAGAAAAGAAATTTTCTCATATTTCATGTATTTTCTATGATTCTTCTTGAGTCTGTACATTTACAAACTAATAGCTATATAGTTCAAACTATTATTTTATGAGCTTTCTTCTTAGTTCACTTGCTTATAACCAATCAGTATTTTTTTATACACTCTTATGAAGGTTTCACATGAAAAAATAATGTGGTTACTACATTTACCCATATTATCAAGTCCCCACCCATACCACATTGCAGACACTGTCCTTCAGTGTAGTAAGATGCCAGAGTCACTATTTGCCTTCTCTGTGCTACACTGTCTTCCCCGTAA